AAAAAAAAAACATTCTTGACTTCTTTCACATTTTTTCTATTTCAATTAAATTTTAGTGACTTTTTTGTATTAATACTTTCAGAACACAAAAAAATACTGAATTACTGATATACATTCCTTTAAAATGAAGTTCATAATAAGTTGATTTCAGTAATAACATGAACAATACCTAGTGCATAGCTTCATTTAAAATACTTCTAATATACTAGTATGCAACTTCTTTTGAGAGATGAGAGAATTGGCGAGTTTCTAGTCTTCAAGAATTGTAACAGGATTCGAAGGTATTAAAATACGCCAATGCCAATCTCATTGTGTAACCCCTAAGCTTTCTCGAAGTTCTTCCTCCCTCTCTGCACCTGAACATCATTAACAACAGGTGTGTTCTTAGGGGGGGGGCTGTCTTGAGTAGTACAATGGGTTATCTTTTGGGGATCTTATCCAATGGATCAAGGGGTAATTGAAACAACAAAGAGACACTACAAAAAGAAACTCATCACTCATATTCTTGAATTTGAAGAAAACCTAAATGAGGTGCTGAAAAAAATAAATGTGAAAGACGTCATGGCTGCCCAGGCATGACAATTAGTGAATCCAGCTACAATTCGTAAATCATTTAACAAAATAATCGTTGAAAAGAGGAGACAGAGTGATCCCAGCAGACGGAAAACACATCGAAAGACAGAGAACTTCTTGAGATCATCAAAGGAATTGAAGGTTGTGAAGAAGTTTTGGAAGAGGACATTTGCGAGTGGCTGGACGTTGAAAATCAACATCCCTATTTTGAAATTCTCAATGATGAAGAAATCATACAAGCCGTTAATCCTTCATCGGACATTAATGACGCTGAAAATAAAAATGAGGACTTTGAGGATTCTACAACTACAAGTCATAGTGAAGGTGTTCCAGCACTGACAACTGCTCTAAAATATTTGAAGCGAAGAAACAATGCTACACCGATGGATCTCCTGTTGCTCAAAAATTGGCGCAATAGGGCAGCTCATGATAGAAATTCTGGACTTTTGCAACGAAAGATAACAAACTTTTTTAAAAGAATGCAAATTTAACAAATTAATGCATATTAAATTTTAAAAATACAATATTTTCTTCAGGTTTGTGTTATTTTTGAAAATGCATCTTTCAATATTTAACTAAGTATAGTTAAAAATAAATTCCATTTCACTTTTTAAAATTTACTGCTAGAGTTGATTTCCTTTTAAAATCTTTTTAGCTGTGAAACATAAGTTCATATACGTTTATTTTTATCATTTTAAAAACGTTCTATTGTTTTTTACTTTAAAAGTAGTTGAATTCGCAAGCACGGAAGGTTTTTATACATGGTTTCTATTAACCTAGATTTCCGATATCCGAGGTACTAGCGGTCACAATTAGCTCGGATAATCGAGGTCTTACTGTATCTCTATTATACCCCAACTATGTCTAATGATGGAGCTTGTCATAGTACGAAAACAATAATACATTAACTATATAAATTAGTAAAACTTTTTTAAAGACACTTTTGATTTTACTTTTTAATTGCTTATTTTTATTCATCAATGTTTAGATGACCTTTTTAAAATATCAGTTGTAATACAAAACTTGCTTGCATATTTCTATTAACACTTCCTTTTTGTGTTGTTTTTCACAATATGATAAAACTGAGCAAATGAAATTTGATAAAATACATGAGCCTTTGTCACAGAGTACGGCAACATACAATTTTACCATCACTTCAAGGCTTCTGTTCTGCATTTGATTTCCTATTTCAATTTGAATAAAATTAGAAATCTAGTTTTAACCCACTTTTAAGAGCATACTTAAAAACTTGAATTACATTCATTTTTATAACCTTTATGTAGTTTTTAAAATTTTTTTGCATTATCATGGAGTAAAATAACATTTGATTTAGCATTGCTGACTCAATTTTAATTTGTCCAAACGCAGAAAACTAATAAAAGTTTTCAAAAAACAGTATTGAATTCATATGAATAGCATTTTTTATATTTATATTCTATACAGAGTTTGATAAAAAGTATTGGATATGACATAATTTTGAATTTCTACATCTTTTTCAAGATAAATTTTTAACCCCATTGTGCTGTATAATTGTCAAATGGGAGAAAAAATATATTAATGCAAAGACAGAAAATTTTGAAACTCTTATTTTCATTATGTTAGAATTTTAACCATAATGTCCTACATAATTATAAGAAAGATGAAAGTCACATTTAAAAATAAAAGTCAAATTAAGATCCAATATACTGTACCTGCTCTAAACAATGCACCAGTTAGGTAATGCATCATTAAAATACGACCAGCTTCATAATAAGTAGTAAAAAGTTCTTCTTTCACAAAAGGCTGAAATCGCAGGGGTGAATGTTCAAGTGAAAGATATAACTTTAGAGAAGCACGAATACTCAAAGATATTTCTTGAACATTAATCTTTAAACTTTGAAAATGTATGGGATGAATAAACATAGACGAAATTGTAATAACATCTTCAGGTAAATAGATATCTTTCCAATCAGAAATATGATGATGAAAATTAGCAGGTGTGTATGACTTGTACAATGCAATGCATTTAAAATAAAATTTGTCTTCTAAATACAGAGATATAGGTAATAGATTTATCTCACAAGACTTTAAAATTATAGAACAGTTTTCTTCATTAGCATGCTCTATGACAGCATTTAAAATAAACATTGCATTTTCACGAATTTTATTAGGTAAAAACATTGTGTTTTCTTTACTTATACTAATTTCTTCTTTCAGATCATTGCCTCTATGTAAGATAACAGGAAAATCAAACCCAATTGTTTTATCATAATTTTCAATTTGATTATCAACTTGAATGTGCCCGAAACACAATGAAATATCTTGCAAAATAACTTTTGAGTTAATATTCTTTGGTCTCAGAAATAACAAGGCATTATCAATATTTACTCTTAAAACTTCAATGTTTTTGTTCCACTGGAAGAATTCATCACAAAACACCACACTTACATGAATAACTCGCATATTCAAATAATAAGTATTTGGATAATGGGTGTGATCGCTATCTAAACTAATATTCTTTTTTACTACATTAAAATGTTTTGTAGATGAAACTTCAAGGCTGTTTAATATTTTGTCACCTAACACCTTCTGCTTCACATATTCATCTTTGGTACTAGCTTGAGATTTGGTGGCCAAATCTATTCGGCTTCGAACTTCATTGGCGGTGACTTCAATGCGTTTAACTATATCTATATATAGATTAGTAGTATGACCTATGCATTCTGTTTGTATCATAAAATCACATACACCAAGGACATGAATAAATTGCTTATCTAGATTAACTTTAAACGGATTACTCCACAAATAATTTTGATTGTCATTTTCTTTTAGCCCAATACAAAGCATAGGGACTGAATCAAGACTAACAGGAAAACTCTTATCCATAGAAGGAAAAGAGTAATGAGAAGAGCATCCAGGATTAATTAGAGGAACAAAACTGTTTTCAACTTCTTCAACTACTGATTTTCCTGAAAGAAAATAAATGTGCAAATATATTACCTAAAATTTTATGAGTATGCTAGCAAAATAAAAAATTAAATGTAAACAATAAAGATTTAGCATTACAATATGAAAAATCAAAAGATATTATTCAAATTATCATCAAGCAAATATCTTAGTTTTTATCCTAATCTCAATCTATTATTATTGTACACTTTGAATTATAATTATATTTATTAATTAATAAATCTGTTTAGATATCTCTGAAAAAATATAAGAAGATGTACTTCTACTTTTCAAATATTTAACTTATCTATGAAGTGTTGAATTCTCTGAATGAAGAGGTTATGTGTAAGTAAGATTGATCAATAAATAGTAGAAATGTTTCCCTGATAGATATTTGACAAAAGGCACATAAGTGGACACAAGACACAGAGAATAAAACAATAAGCTTTTCTGTCACTGACAAAAGTTGAATTACACTTAAAAACCTACAGTACTTTAAAGCCACGCTTAGTGTTGTTTGTAAAGGCAAAAATATTTTGAAATAATGGATAAATTTATTAATTCCATTAAAGAGGGAAACATATTCATAAATTATCAAAATTATTTTTATTTTTACATAACTAGACAATAAGCTTATTTAGAAATATTTCATAGCATCAGCTTATAAGTGGCTGATTCACACTTTTATTAAACCAAAACATATATGGATATAATGAGCCAAAAGTAACAATTATCTAAACTGGGTTTCAATTATTTGAAATAAAAAAGAAAAGTAAAACATTCTATAAGTGATGTTATTGCCTCAGCAATTAAGTGTGTAACTATTGAACTAATTTGTTTTATAGGTTTATATAATGGCTCAAATGAGCCTTTAAAGATTGTAATTTGATTGCAACAATATTTTGGAAATGCCTAGAACAACAAACAACAAAACACTGCAAAATTTTGTTTCTTGAGTGCAAAAGTTGTAAAGAGCTGTGATACATACAAAAAGGGGTCATATCAATGAGAGAGAAAAAAAGATAAATTAAACTTATTTATACTAAATAATAAAGTTTTACATTTATATTTTGTTGAAATGCTAAAAACAGATTATTCCAAATAAATTTTATCTTATTTTTTAGAGTATTCAGTCAATGAGAGCAAAATAAAGATAAATTAAAATTATTTTTACTAAATAATGAAGTTTCACATTTATATTTCGTTGTAATGTTAAAACCACATTATTCCAAATAAATTTTATCTTATTTTTTAGGATATTTAGTTGTTTTATTGACTATTTTTGCTATTGGGCAAAAAACTTTGAACACATGATAGAAATTATTTTATTAAAATTTCAAATTTTAGCACTAGAATTTAATTCAAAAATGAAAATTACTAAATTTAGAGGTACTATCAGTTAAAAAAAAATTTTTCTAGGTAAAAAAATAATTACATAAATTCTTAAAATTTTGGGAGAATTAAAAAAAAATTCAATCAAAAATACTATTATTTAAAATGTGTGAATATGCATGATAGAAGTTATTTTATTAAAATTACTTAATTAAGAGATACTATCAGTTAAAAAAAAAATTCTGGGTAGAAAAATAATAACACAAGTTCTTAAAATTTTGTGAAATTTAAAAAAAAAAAAATTCTATCAAAAATACTATTACTTAAAATAACAAAAACATTTTATTTATATAGGGTAAATCAATTTGGACAAGTTATTTTGAAATCTTACCTTCTGTTTGAAAACAACTTTGGCCATAATATAAATTAAGATTTGTGTGATTGTGAAGAAGCAAAAGAGGACAAGGATCATTATTGAGCACCAAAAACAAAAGACCTTTTCTCCAATGACTTGTGAATATAAGTGGATGGGTAGTCACTGATCCAGTAGGTAATGAAACTGCATGCCGATTATCATTGTTGAGTTTTGTATGAAAACAGATAGGATAGCTCCACTTTTTGCATGAAGTAGAGACATATATGTAAAAACTTAGAGCATCTGATGAAGCTAAAGAAATTTTTCTCCAAGAGAGCAAAGGATGACAATTATCAGATTTACCTTCTATGAACAATGATGAATCGTTTGAATATTCACATTTCATCTAAAATATTATATTTTTACTTGTAGCAAAATAAAGTGCATCAAGATAATAATATAGAAATAATTTTAAGCAAAATTTTTTTAAAATTTTAAATTGTATTCTAAATTACATAAAATTCTAGAAAAAATAATGAACAAATATTTACTATCATTAAATTAAAAATGAATGATGGCAAATTTTAAATACAGCTTACAAAATCAAATAAATTGAACCAAAAATTTGAACAAGGAACGCTTTAGAAATATATAAATACATATATATATACATAATAAAAAATACAAAAAAAAAACGAAGAAAATTAAGAAAAATATATATATATATATGCGTGTGTGTATATATGGTACTTATTTGTGCGTGTAAGTGCAAGCAAGTTTGTTGCACTAAAAACCCGGAGTTTGGTAAATTCTAAGTTTTACTTACAAAACCTAGCTTTTACTAAAGAGGCTTAGTGAAAGTCCAAAGCATGCTTCAATATAATTTCATTCTTTAACCAATTATTTTCCGTCAAACCTAGAATTTACCAAGCCACTTCGGTAAGTCCTAGGTTTTATGGGCAAATATCAGGATTTACCAGATTTCGGGGGTTTTACAGTATCAGATTTTTGTGTTTATTGGTCATAATGTGTATAAAGTAAATAAGCTACAGATTACACTTGCAATAACTTTTTATTTTAAATAATTGTACATTTGCTATAATTTTTTTATGTACGGAATATAATGCAATGCTATTTGAATAACAGGTATTATTATTATTATTTTAAATGCCAAGTTGGAAAGATGAAAGTCATAGAAGGACTCATCACTTTATGAAACCATAAAATGATATATTAACAAAAAAGTAAATTAAAAGGTGTGTACATACTCACTGCTTTGCAGCATTTAAAATTAGCATTTCACCCTAAACATTGGCAGAATTTTAGAGGAAGTAAAAGTACAAGTCAAATAAAATGGTAAAAAAGTCTTAATTAAATCTAAAGATTTGGCCAAATAAGTTATTAAATTAATAACTGATCTCTAAATATATGTAAAACCAAAAAAGTGAAACATATTTCAGAAAATTAAGGATATTTAAGAAATATTTTAAAAAAGATATTTAAGAAAATTAACAGATTTTGTATTTCTAAAAATAAATAAATAAAATAAAGCATACTTTTGAGATTACTTAGAATTTTTACTAAGCGAGAACTAGATACTTAAGTTAATCTTTTAGAATTTGTTTATTTTATATCAAAATAAATTAAATAACCAATGTAATATTTTTAAGAACATCCATAAATAGGTTATAAGAAAACTTACATTTGCATCACTGCCTGAAGCACAAATTAAAGAAAAATGCAGATCAATGTCTGATTTGTTGACTAGACTAACCAGAGGAAATGCAGTAATAACAACAATTCCTTCTTGTACTTCAGTCAATAGCTTAAACAAAAACACCTATAATAAAGACACATTTTTTTCAGGTACATTTGTTAAAATCTATACATTATTAACCAGGGTTGGGTTTTTGACGTCAAAAAGTGGTTTTTGACATGACAAGGGTATAATACTGGTTTAAACCGTCAAAAACCCGTCAAAAATGTCAAAAACTGAAGTTTGCCAAGAAAATATATAAACTTCAAAACTACCAACAGTTGCCATGCATTATATTGAAATTTAATTATACTATAGGTAATCAGCAGGTTTTAAAATATTTTTTAATTAAAATTAAGGTAAAATAACAGATTTAAAATCTCAGAAATTTATATTCAAATGCATGTG